GGCCAAGGTACTGCTTCATCTGCCTACCCGTCACTGGTTGACCCCCTCAAGAGCCTCACAAACCTTGCGAAGACGTTCCCCTCGTTCAGACCGATTACGAACCACCCAGGACTCCCCATCGATAACGCGACCCAGCGAGTACGACAGGGTCTCGGGCTCGGTCTCCTCATGGACAGTGAACTGCACGAAACGAAGCCTCCGAACGATCACATCCTTAGCCTCCTTCACCTCCTCCCTCCTGATGCCTGCCACATTGATGTTGTCGCAATAGGGTAGAACGGCCAGCTGGGTCCCAAGATCCGGAGCAGGGGCCTGGTCTCTCAGGAACTTGAAAGCCAAGCCAGCCCCAGCCAAGGAAACTCTGCACTGGTGCTCCACGAGGCGCTGGACGAAATAGAAGGCCCAGGAGAACCCCATTGGAAGAGTCAACAGCATAGGGTAAACCGATACTTCACGTGCCAGATCCCCAAGGCCACTAGGGCCAACAATACCAGCGTCGGCCCTCTCTCCCTCCGTGATCGGCGGCATGCAAAAATACGGGCACAGCTCTGGAAGATTGCGAACGCAGTGGAAACAATCCTTCACGTCCGCCTGGGCTACCCAGAGCTTGCTTCCGCCGCTTCCGCTGTCGTCAGCTCCGCCGACCTCGGTTCCAGGACGAGCCTCGGGACGCTCCAGGTTGCCCCAAGCTGCAGCCGTGCCCATCTCAGGGGCAGGGGGTGCTCGGAAGAGGAGGTTCGTGGTTCGGCAATCCATGATGAGTCGTAACCTGTCGTGCTTCTTTACTACGAAGAAAGGGGTCACCAGGCTCAGAGGCTTCTCTGTCCAACCAATCATCTTGGCGTCGCTAAGGTCTCTCAAAAACTCAACGTAGACTCCTCGCTGCGCTTTAAAAATCTCGTCGAAGTACAACCTAAACTGATGTCCCGACTCTCGATAGAACCCCACGTCAGCAGGGTCAGCAAGCATATGAGTATCCCATGACTTCAGCAAATCCTGGTCAGGCTCCGGGAGGGTAGACAGTAGATCCGCCGAGGGCCTCCCGGGATCTGGAAGAGAAACCTGATCCCGCCGATAGGGACGAACCGTGGTGCTGCAATCGCTGCCTGCATAGTCAACGATGCCTGACAAGAGCTCGCGGACGGCCCCGTGTCTGGTGTACAAGGTTTGGGATGGCGGAATGGACGCGACGTCACAGCGTATCGCATCCTGAGACAGCATCTGGCCCATCGCGGGGGTACCGTCGTGCACCCCGGCGCAGCCCTGCATCTCATTCAAGGAACTGATGACAGAGTTGGTAGCCCTGTCCAAAAACCCCCTCCTCGCCAGGCGTCTTCGCACCGAGCGTGAGGGATGACCCTCAGTAGCCGACTGCTCATCGACGTGAGGGAGCGGAAAGAGATCTCGTGGCCGAGCTCTATCAAAAAGTTGTGGACCTCCTGGGTGAGTCACTGCCGAGGGGCTAGGTCCGTCGCCCCTCGGAGGGGGCCGCATCACCCCTGTCCCTCTGAGGTCTTGTCCTTGTTGTTCTTGTGATTCTGGCGGCCCAGGCGGCGCCCCTCACGAGCCTTCCTCTGCTCCTTGGCCACCTGGTGCTCATCGCGGAGGGCGGTCGCCACGTGTTGCTGGAGCAGCGGGGCCACCATCATGCCCTGTCGGCGGCGGCCCCATCCCATGTGCTGGTCGGCGGCCGAGTAGTCGGGAGCCGACGGGCTCAGGGAGTGGGCGCTCTCGATCAGCTGGAGCCTCCTGCACACGAGCTCCGCACTGCGCAGCGCGGGGGCGTGCAGCTGGTCTGTGCACACCATACTCTCGAGCACCTCGGAGAGCACCTCATGCTCGAAGACGCTGCGGTCCCCGCTCGACACACCAGATGTCGCCCTCCACGACGCATGCTGAGACACTGGCGTCTGGGACCTCTCGACATAGGTCTGGCACCTCCAGGACACTGTGCCAGGACCCTCAAGCCCCAAGCCTCCCTCGGGCTCGTCGGGCACGAAGCTGGCGACGCCATCCTGGAAGAGCCTCCTGCGCCTCCCCATGCCATCGAACTTCACGGGCATCACCCTGAGGTCGTCCATCTTGAACTCATCGATGCCGTCCTGGGGGATCATCTGCAAGAACGCCGTGCTGCCGTCCGCCATGGGGACGACCGCCCTCTCGCCCAGGACCACTGATCCCGCGGGGAGCTCCTCCATGCCATCGCCCTTCTGGTGGCGGCCGTGGTCCTCGGCGAAGACCCATACGCGGCCTGGCTCGGCGCGTCTGGCGGCCGCCCCGGCGGGCCGGCCTAAGCCCTGCCGCTGCGCGTTCCGCATCGGGGCCGCCAGCGGGGCGGGCGGAGGCGCTGGTGCTGCTCCCAGCATGCCCTGCGCCTCTGCGAAGAGCCTCTGGCGCTCATTGGGCGGCACGTTGTGTCGGAAACGATAGATCTGATTCTCTGGCACATGGGCGGGGCGACCTCCTGGCAGCCCGATCCAGTACACCGCTTCGATGTCATCCCCAGGCGCTATATTGAACTGATAGTGATCCTGGTCGGCGGTGTACAGGGTGACCTCAGTAGGATCCTCTGGGCTGACCCCTATGATCAGCGTCTCGTGATACAAGTCCTCGTCGACCCCATTGTACTTAATAAGGATATAGTCTCCCCTGGCTGCCATATCTACTGCTGCTTGTGGCGGCCAGTCTCACGACGGGCGCGGACGGCTGCTACCTGCTCAGCGGCGAGCCGCCGCCGCCTCTCGTCCAGCTCGGACGAGCTGGCGTGCTGGCCGTTCGCACCTCTCTGGCCACGCGTCCTCCGGGCACACCAGCACCCGAGCAGCACTCCCGCGACTGTGGCAACCAGCAGCGGCAGGAAGAGGATGGCGAAGATGCCGTCCTCCAGCAAGGGGTACACCTCCCTGATGTCGGGGACCGACGGGCACTCCACGATCGGACAATCAGTCTCGGGGCACTCGGGCCTGGGGCAGACCACCTCTGGGCACTCGCAGACCACCTCTGGGCACTCCTCCTCGTGCCCTGGGTAGCCTCCTCCGCCCCCAGGAGAGGCGGACTCCTCAGGCCCTCGCACGGCCTGCCAGACGAGGGCAGCCCAGCCCGGCAGCCCTGCTATCGCGGCAGCGTACAGGGCCTGGAGGTCTGGGTCGAGCATACACCCAGAAAGAACTGAAGCCAAAGGCTATGGAACACAGACAGCGGCGTAGTGACTGGAGGCATTCACGCTTGGCTGATCATACTAAACATCAGACAATACTACTACTACTACTACTACTACTACTACTACTACTACTACTACTACTACTACCTACTACTACACTACCACTACCACTACCACTACCACTACCACTACCACTACCACTACCACTACCACTACCACTACCACTACCACTACCACTACCACTACCACTACCACTACCACTACCACTACCACTACCACTACCACTACTACTACTACTACTACTACTACTACTACTACTACTACTACTACTACTACTACTACTACTATAACTACTACTACTACTACTACTACTACTACTACTACTACTACTACTACTACTACTACTACTACTACTACTACTACTACTACTACTACTACTACTACTACTACTACTACTACTACTACTAATACTACTACTCTACTACTACTACTACTACTACTACTACTACTACTACTACTACTACTACTACTACTACTACTACGACTACTACTACTACTACTACTGCTACTACTAATACTACTACTACTACTACTACTACTACTACTACTACTACTACTACTACTACTACTACTACTCCTACTACTTACTTCGATACATAACTGCTGCTGCTACTACAAACAATACCACTACCACTAACACTACCAATACGACTACGACTACGACTACGACTACGGACTTACGATACGGACTACGACTACTTACTATACTGATGCTACTACTACGACGACTACTATACTACTATTATAATTACTTAATTACTACTACTGCTACTAATACTCACTACTACTACTAACTACGACTATACTACCACTACTACTACGACTACGACTACGACGACTACGACTACGACTACGACTACGACTACGACTACTACTACTACTACTACTACTACTACTACGACTACGACTACGACTACGATTACGACTCCACATGCGACTACGACTACGACTACGACGACTACTACTACTACTACTACTTCTACTACTACTACTACTACGACTACTACTACTACTACTACTACTACTACGGCTACGACGACTACTACTACTACTACTACT